TGTTACGTTGGGTAACAGCACGAACAACCGGGTTGAAAGTGCGCACAGACAACTGAAGAGAAAGTTGTCTAACCGAGACGCGTTGAGTAAATGTATGTGGAAGACATTTACATGGTAGAGGCAATTAGGCAAACGTATGTCACTACAATCCAGCTTACACTGTAGTCACAAACGCAGCTACGTAGCTGAAGATTGCTTAATGCCTCTACTAAGCAAGCTAACCACCTATGCTGGCTTTATAGTCCTTAAAGAATATAAAAAAGGGGACTGATGTACATCAAGAATAGCCAGTCACCCTTTGTGTTCTTCGTTGACGGCCATCAATGTCCGGTAGTGGATATAAGCAACGGCACTTGCACCTGCCATTTATTTAAAACCTGTCGAATTCCATGAAAGCAAATAGTTTTTACTCATCTACAAATGCCAGAGTTCACAGGTATGTTATGTTCATCTTTGTATCATGAAGTAGTTGATTTAGTTTTGAAGCTCTGTTGCAGATAGACTTGGCAGGCTTTCCAAGATGTAGACGGAAATATACCAGCTATTCCGTCTCCAGATTATAATGAAACGAACAGACTTTTAGCACTCTACGCAGTAAAATCCACACACTCAGTACACTTTTCGGACAGACGACGGCGTAGGACACACTAAGGCAATTGGTAGATCAAGTTGATGAATTAATACGCATGAGGCGTCTTGTTGTAACGTAAGGACTGCAGATTAGGGTGAAGCGTTTTATCGATCGGATTAGTGACATGGAAAACACGTAAGATTGGCCTAGAGTTCTGATTGGCCCTGCTTCTCTGTCTATCCCAGCCAGTTGAGTCCAGAACGCAAGTCTTAGCCTCTGAGATATGAATCATTATATTTCAGACATACTCTGTTTATATACCGACCAAACAAACCACATCGAACCATAAAATAGAAAACAACATTTGTACAATATTTAACAAGTGAAATAAATATCGACCAATAGGGAGTGTACATTTAAAGTCCAAGGCCACCATTAGACTTAACATGATAATTATTGGTATATTTATCTGTACATCTTAACACGTCTGGCTACAGTTTCCGAACATGGTAAGTCTACTGGTTCTTTGGAAACCAAAATCTAGGTATTTATAAATGCATCTATTAAGCTAATACTCGTACTCTCTATTTCAGATAATCAATGAACACAAATCTCGTCATGTGCATCTGCTGCGTTGCCAGTTTTTGTTAATACCTTATTGAATAAAAGTCTTGTATTCACTAAATACAGAGTTTCTTGCTATATTTCGTATAAGGGGGTGAAAAAATTGAGTGGGCCTGTAGTTGTGTTTTGACTAGCGCGTACCCTCACGATACTAGTGACCCGTTAGTGTAGCTAAGGTATTGATTGGAAGTCCGACGGCATCCCAATGAACAACTATGGCTTAAACGCGTACCTATAAACGTACTACTGCAACACATCATGGTGGCTGAAATAGGTTAAGGAGGCCTGGACTTAGGGGTTTCCCGTTGCTTGCTTATCATATGGTATTTCAGTCAGAAACTAAGGTTACAGGCAGCGACTGTTGGGATGTGTGACTGACTCAACTGTCTTAACCTGAAATTACTACATATCAACTAGCTGGTGACAGGCTCGCGTTTCACCAGTTTCTTGCAACGATTAAATAGATAAAACGAAATAGCATCAAGTCTATAAATTTATTCACGAACTTTAATTAACAATGGAATATGAAACAAATATTTACACCAGGTTCCAAATTACATTGTAGCATTGGTAAAGTGAAGCTGCAGTAGTTGTTTCTTTTCAAACGACAGGGTATAAGAAGTAACTCCAAGACACTGAAAGTGGTTATGAGATTAAAGTGGACGTCCGATATGCTTTTAATAATCTGCTGTTACTTGGGTCCCCCATAAAGTTTCATAGGGCCATAGTTATAAAGCTGAATGACTTTGTAAGATCTGTGATGGCTCATTCTTGTTACATTCTAAATAAAAGATGGTAATGGATTTAGTCAAGAATGTTGAAAAGGTAAATAAACAAATTACATGTTTCTAAGGAAAGAATTTATGCAGCTATGATTTACCTCGACTTCATAAATATCAGATCACGCCAGCTACTAAAACTTGTGCAAAGTACAGCATCGCACAGCTTTTATTATTTTGCTCCCACTTAAGTATTTCCATGCATCTGCGTCTGGTTTTACAGGAAGATATACAAATTGATTTAGTATCTGGTAAACTAAAAGTTCCAGTTGTCAAAAAGTCTCTGAACATTTGTCCACAGCCAGCAGCATTTAATTAAGACAGAACACTCCTCATCTAAGACTGTATACTGCTGTTTTGCAGGCAAATAAAAGCTCAGACACTTAGCTATCCTGCTACCGATGTTATTGCCGGGGAAATTGTTTGATGACAGCGGTCTTGAAACATGAACAGTGTTAGACGTACTGTCTACAAATAAACACCAAACGTACTTAAAGTTATTGTAGGGCCAGTGAAATGTCACTGAGCCCTAGCCGAATCATCCGGCAGTTGGATCACTGAATGTCGAACAGATCATCGCTCCCTGCCAAGGTCATGTACAACCAACGCGCATCAGTTAATCGTGTGCGATGGACTGACCCATGCGGCAGTGGTCTTACTTTCGCTTGTATCTACCTTAACTAATATATTTCTGTAATAAAGTCCTTCGTGTTGTACAGCCTTCAAAGCGTCTATAGTACCTTGATACGTCAATGGGGGTAGTCCACGTAAGGTGCTGACCACGAGGTGTGACTTCGACGTTAGTTGGTTCGTCACACCATTCACGTCTAACTCGAGTAGGCCTCCAACCATTTCGACATAGATCATCTACGTTGGTGATCTACGCTATCTTATAATGCATAACAGTAACAGTACCAAAGGCATTTTTTCCCTATTTTTAATCGACTGATTTGAATCCGTATATTCATAAAAAACAGGCAGCTCTACTTACTAAACTGATCTGTTTCGTTACAGGCTTCAAGCACTATACTTAAGAATACCATAATTCTTTCAACTAAACTGAATTTTATGACAGCCAAGAATACTAAACTAAGCAAGTGTCATAATTATTGTTCCATTTGCACAGACATGTTGCTAAACGGAGTAAAATGAACAAAATTTAGCCGATAGAACCAAAACACGAAATATAGGCCAGTCGAACTTACCTAAGAAAACGAAGGATACATATAAACTGCTTTTATACTGATGACAACAGGCAGTTGTTCATAACAACATAGTTTACGGTACAACAAACGTTTCTTCAGTAAAATCATGCACTGACAGTCTATCTGGAAACAATCAACTATGTGAATAAACCCACTATGACTTGAGATATCATCCCAGCGTGCAATGGACGTACAGTGTGACGCAGTCGGACGTGGCGAATAAAAATTAAAAATAGAGCAAAATTAACAACATAATCTAGTTATTTAATTAAAAATACATTATGGAATGACAAAATCTGTGGTTACTTGAACGCACAGATGACCCTGGGCGATACATTAAGTTTACATGGTTGCGTTGTGGATAAGTTCACCCCACTAATCCTAGTCGCGGAAATTACGCTTTGTCTCCTGTATATGCAAGAGAATCGTAATTTAAAGTCTTATCCAATAGGTGCGAAAAGCTACTGAAAGATCGGCCAGTATTGGTTGTTGCCACTACTGTCTGGTCCCACAATATTTTGACACCAAACAAGTCTTAAGAAAGTTTGCTAGTTATCAGACATTTTTGCTTTGTTTCGGTATCGGCGGTAGTACTCTCAAATAGATTTTGTGATATACGGTGGCTCTGAGAGCGTTTGTTCTACCATCCGCCTTCTGGATAGCCCATAGCTTCTTCTTACAAAAAAGCCGAAAACCATCGATTTCAATACTCCCTTTTTTTGTAATATTCACTAAACTATCAGTATGTTGTGAACGTGAATCTGCCACTTTTGTGACGAAAACGGAATTACAATAGTTCACTGGAGTATAATATCCGTCAACACGTTTTTGCACGAATAATGTATGACTCGGTGGGACATCCGAAATTTTAGCCTTATGATCTCTCAGAATTTGCGTTGGGTTTACTTCAGCATCCATATGTTTTAAGGTAGAAGTTATAGAATAACATGTATATTGAATAAATTTCGTAACCACAAATAAGGGAGTGTCTTTTCTTTCTTCGCGGCTCTTTATGTGTGATCACATTGACATTCGGTATCTATTGCTTATTTATATCATGTATGAATGGACATAGTTACATGCTTAATCCATGCACACGTAACCTTAGGTTCTAAAGTAAATCTAATATACGTCATTTACTTGTGATTTGGTTGCCATTGTATGCTATTCGAAAATTGCAATGATGTTGTAAACTCCTGTTACGCTGCTCTTTACAGAATGGGACCACTGGCCTGGTTAGTTGTTCAGTGACGCTAACGGATTTATATTTCGATTCATGCCGTCAGCGCCAACCAAAAAGTGAATTTCACTTCTGACGGTTGTTTCAAAGAGCGCTTTTAAGTAAAATTTATCCCTACCTCCGGATTCCCGGAAAATTCCGTGAAGTTTTTGGGGAACTTTGGGATTTAACCCGAATGATTTGATGATGTCCCAAAATAACTTAGGATTTTGAGGAAGAACCTCTGACCAGAAAATTCTTGGGTTTTGTCGTATAAACCAAGAAGTCGCTGTTTCAGATTCTCCGAAATTGAGAAATTTGGATTGCCGTTATTTTATTAGTCAATATGCGATTTTGTTGTGAAAGCAATTTTTAGACCCTCTATGTTCATACATAACCTTTTTGATTCATATCATTGATATCTATTTCAATATATTACTATTAGCTTTACGTTTTCCTAGATCTTTTCCTGGATCCGTTGCAACTTTTTCAATAGCTGCGGTACTTTGTCGGCTAGGTCACGTAACCTCTTCATAATTGCGATGTCGACGTTACATGATTTTGTTCGGAACTTCAAAAAAGTTCCGCAAACAATGAGAGAAATGTTTGCTGCGAATCCTAAAAGATTTTCAGAATTCAGGTTACTTCTATATGTATTCTCATTGTTTCAATTCCAGTCAGGTTTTGAGTCTTCCTGGCGGTACTATTCTCTTGGACTACTCAAAAAACCTAATTGACACTCAGAGTTTTGACCAGCTTATCAAATTGGTTTATCCATATATTTTTCTTAATACCATTTTAGGCTAGAGATAGTAATGTTGAAAAAATGCGTGATGACATGATGGAAGGGAGAAAAATTAATTTCACGGAAGATAGAGCCGTCCTGCATATAGCTCTGCGAAACCGATCAAATGTCCCGATTATGGTCGATGGGAAAAATGTAACTGCCTCTTTTATTTAACCATTTAACTAGGTTATGCCGGGAGTTAACGCAGTTCTTGAACACATGTCTAAGTTTTGCGATTCTGTTAGATCTGGTGAATGGAAAGGCTACACAGGGAAGCAAATAACAGATGTTGTTAATATTGGCATTGGTGGTTCAGACCTTGTGAGTGTCACCTTTTTTTACATCTCATTTTTAACTGTAAATTTACTAATCAAGTAAACGTTGAATGGTTAGTACGTGTTGCGAAAAATTATTTTTAAAAACCACTGAATAACTTCATGCCACTCCACTCACCTTTAACATCCGGAGTTATTATTGTTCACTGTTGTAAGTTTCGTAGAATCACCCAAGCGTCCTTATATGAGGCATCGAAACAAATGCTCTATTTCAGCACCTTTCCTCGGGGCTTTGAATGAAATTTTTTAGTGACTGTAATAAAGTAGCTTTGTTTTCTCTTACTGTTAAGGGTTAGCCCACGTAGCTAGAATTCACTCATATAACCTCGATAGCTTGTTTTTTCTACCTGTTGATGAAGTGGTGAAAGATACTACTGTTATACTAGTTATACAAATAGTGGAATGATTTGGGCTAAAAAATTTGGTGCTCATGATTACGTACACCCTAACTCATCGAAATAGCTAGCGTTTCTTGAGACTCGCCCATTTTTATTACCACTTCATTCCCGGTGGCGTAACTGTTCTACACTTTTCAGCTAAAATCATCCATTGGCTTAAAATCACTTAGAATCTTCTAAAGAATCAGGCACCATTGAATAGAACTAACCAGCACTTTTCAGAACACATAAAGGATACCTCTGATATAGTTATAAAAGCTCCACTACCACATCAAACAAATAGAAAATGTCAACCGTTTGGCTTCCTCAAGGTTAAACCCCATACAGATGTAACACTACACCTTTAAAGGGAATTGTCAATTTTTTCTAGCAGTCAAATACTTAGTTAGAATTAATCACCATACCAATTCTTCACTCAGTCCTTTTCGTAACCTCAGCACTAACTTCGAAAATATCATCGTGTATACACCATCATCTCTATCAAATGAGTTTAATTTCTTTTCTCTCATAGACCAATGTACATACTGGATGTTGAGCAGCTGAGTTGGTTTATATAACTAATTTAAGGTTACCTGAAAAGTTCTCTACCTTACATAAGTGTTCCACTTGGTATAGTTAGTTATGTGTAATGCCCTATATAACTTATGAGTCAACTGAAGAAATCACGTGTTGTATGACAATGATGAACACGCGTTCAACAACTGGCTGATCACGTACGTCTTTTCGTGAAAATGGACAACATCCCGTTCCCTTCACAAATAGTGTACAATGGGCTACAAAGTTGTAAGGAAAAGCAATTGACTCATTACCGTTAACAAGCAAGGTAAGACTAACACTATTGAAATTGATAAAGTCACACCTACTTTCTTTGTTGATCTGCATATTGACGGTAGGAACTATATATTCAAATTTCCTTCCTAAACCTACACGACAAATGAAATCGCTTCCAGTGCTTGCAACAAAACCTGACAAAATACCGAAATCTAAAAACGCGTCGGTTAGCCAGAATGATATTGAGTCAATTGTGTTTCTTTCATACATGAAAATCTTCTGACCGACATGTACATTTCACAACACATGACATTGTTATAAATCTTGTCACATGAAATGACCTACATGCCATATATATATATATATATATATATATATATATATATATATATCGTTTTAAATGTGATTTTTCAAAATACTACTTATTACTGACAATTTTTATTTATTTATTTATTTGAACACATAAATAATGGTACAAGAGGGCACCAAATATATATGCGCCACACATTACTGACAATAATATACTACTATACGTATGTGTTATATAATATTACATCAAATCATTATCTAATTAACTTATTTCTACCATTCACAAATAGTTTATTCAAAAATGGAAAATATTTGAGCGAACAATTGTTTTCGATAACGTCATCATCAGGCTCTACAGTCATAAGTCCATAATTATTGTGATATTTTACAAAGGTCAAAATAAGTCATCCGTTAATGAATTCGGCAATGTTATATGTCAAGAAGGGCGAACCTTTGCATCTATTATAGTATAAATACTCCAAAATTGTGTTATTTGTAAATTAGTAGGTCATTTATTAAGGGTCAGAATGATTTGCAGTAAAGTGTCAAGTCACGATCAATATAATATAACGAAATAAAAAATCGTGTGAGTAAAATGCATAGTACAAGAATTTAGTTTTGTTACTCGAGGTAGTAATAATAATATGAACATTGTGTGAATATAATTTGTAATAAGAGAGGTAGCTACGAAAGTAGCAACAAATAAGAACTGATTCAATAACGTCCTTTCAGTTAATAAATTCACCAAGAAGAGGAGAACGACAATGGTATAGCTTTCCTCGATGTCCTACTTTTTAGAAGGATAGACGGTTCCATGGGAAGTAATGTATTTGGAAATAATACATGAACAGGTCAGTATATCCATTTTCATAGCTTTACAGCTCTTTAATACAAAATAAATTTGGTTAAATGTCTCAACCACAGAATTAAACTACTATTCTCTGAAGATAGTGTAGATAACGAAGTAGATAATCTAAAGAACACACTACGGAACAACAACTATCCAGGTAATTACGTTAGGAATTTTCCATTAGAGTTAATGAAAAAAGAGCAAACTGACACGGCTAGTAAAAACCTCCATTATCTGAAAGTGAGCTTTAAATGGGACATAGCGGGTGATATTTTAACACGTCAACTCAAAAGATCTGCTGATAGGACGTTTCACGCTGCCAAGTTACATGTAATCTATATCGATTAACAGCGCCATTCTTTCTCACTTGGTGGACGGTAAGCATCATATCAAAATAGATGGAGCTTTCTCTTTTTTTATACGAGGTTCCAAATAATCTACCTAAAAGAGCTAGATAACGGCTACTCTACATCGTTGAATCCATGTGGATCAACTTCAAAAAACTGAACTTGTGTACAGGAGTATATCAAGCATCTATGTTTACTTTGCTCCGCGACTGGATCACCGGATACCTATATTGGATATTATAAATCTCTTATTCCTCTTCCCACTTCCTTTTGTGTTTACATCTTTCATAAACTTCACAATCATTTGTCCCAATTCACACGAATTCCTTTTCATTGCAACTGCCTTGATAACACCTCTCTTATTACAAATTATATTCACACAATGTTCATATTATTATTACTACCTCGAGTAACAAAACTAAATTCTTGTACTATGCATTTTACTCACACGATTTTTTATTTCGTTATATTATATTGATCGTGACTTGACACTTTACTGCAAATCATTCTGACCCTTAATAAATGACCTACTAATTTACAAATAACACAATTTTGGAGTATTTATACTATAATAGATGCAAAGGTTCGCCCTTCTTGACATATAACATTGCCGAATTCATTAACGGATGACTTATTTTGACCTTTGTAAAATATCACAATAATTATGGACTTATGACTGTAGAGCCTGATGATGACGTTATCGAAAACAATTGTTCGCTTAAATATTCTTTGTTTTTAAATATTTTGCAAACGTGGTTCCCGCTCTGTATTTGGAATTGTCATCGGTATTCTGTTGTGAAAGTGTAACTAAGAAGGTCAAGCGACACGTAACCACAGCCAGAAATTATTCCTCTTTATCCAGGTATCAGGAGTGTGTAGTATCATCCACTCAATCACATTTGGAGGATCTCGTAGCCTTCTCTATAAATATGAAATAGTTAGGTATTTTGCTTTCTTCGGTTTTGGTATGTTAAATATGATTTATAAAATTCTAGCAGTACGATATTTTAGTTTTGTTTAATTTGATTTTTCAGGGTCCAGTCATGGTTACAGAATGCTTGAAACCTTATGCATCACATATTCGGGTACATTTTGTTTCAAACATAGATGGAACACACATTGCGGAAACATTAAAGAAAGTAAATTCAGAGACAGTTCTGTTTATCATCGCCTCCAAGGTAGGTATCCTCTGAGTGTCTGACACTTCATACTCATTACATAATTTTGAAATATTATTATTAAACCTTTACTTGTTTTCCAATAACCTAGCCAAAAGTGGAAAATGCGTTGTTGAGGTTTCAAATATTCATCGACTAAGGCGTTTAGAACGTGTGTGAAGTATGCCGAATCAATACCCTCGATGCTCGATATGTGCCAGTGTGGGAGTAGATTGAAAAAACAGCTAAGGGCGGTCAAACCGAAATGTGTCAGTTTATGTAGTCATTAACGGTTAGTTTACCATGTTAGCAGATGCAGACTACCTTGTTGAAGTTTGTGTGATAGCTGCATTCATTGCCTGGAGACGAGTAGCATGGTTCACCTTAAATCACAGTGACACGGACCCATGTAACGTAGGTCCTATTTTTCCATTTCTTTCCCTTGACCCGCATTCCCAGTCCTCAATTTTTTTCAACATTATTGTTGCTACATCATTTCATTTCCTTTGTTAGTGTGGTATTTCAAGTTGGGCAACATATTTTTACCGGGGTTTACGTTAATGGCAATCGACCAATTCTATTTCTCCATAAAATCATTGATGGCTGGAACTCAGGTTTTGTTTCTTGTTTGTGTTCCGATCTGGATGTTATCTTAGATCGTCACACTTATTTTAATTTTATGGCTTGTGTAAGTGTTCTAACCAAACACTTTTTTTCTTTTTAGACCTTCACTACCATTGAAACGATGACCAATGCTAACTCTGCCAAAGAATGGTTCTTAGAACATGCGAAAAATGTAGGTAACGACCGGTAATGTCTTAGGATTCTCCGTTAAATTTCGTTTTCAAGTAATCAGTTTTCGCTGTTAGGTGATTTTTTATCTGATGTTGGTTGAGTATAATACTTCATAGATTTGATGCAACATAATACTTAAAAGTGACATCATATAGTATTTATAACAGTAATGTAAGTTGTTTATCTCTTACCTGCTTTTACAGGTTTCTCACGTGGCCAAGCACTTTGTCGCCTTATCAACTAATGCAACAGAAGTCTGCAAATTTGGCATAGCACCGGAAAACATGTTTGAGTTTTGGGATGTAAGTCTACCTCAAAGTACTATGAATATTATCCTGAGAGTTTCTTAAGTAACTTGCATATTTCAGTATTTCTGTAATTTCTATAGTATCTTTAAGCCGTCGATATATATTTATAGTAATCAGGCCTGTGTACTAAATAAGGCTTTGGTTCTTTGTCAAACGCACGATTTTGTTTCTTTATTGTTTCCCAAAGTTTCACAGTACAATCATTATTTCCAATCTTTCTCATCGGAGCCAATTCAAGTGACATGCATCCATAAACTCGGAATGACTAACAGTATTTAAACAAAAAACGGTTTATATTCTTCTTTTGAATTCCATTCAATGATAAAAATTTCTTCAAAGCCTATCAGTCAGTGGGATCAAATGTTGCCTTTAGTTTGGAGATAGCGACCACAGTCGGGGCTTGGTATATATATCTGTGTCTGAGGGTAACTACGTGGTCACTAACTTCTCAATCAGGTCTGAAACCGGCTTAGATTTCTCAGATTAGTTGTTTCGTAGTGCCATTTAGTTGTCTTATAATTATGAATACGAGTAAATTGGATACTCTCAGTTACCTTCAAAATAATTTATATGAACATCCGTCAATTTGAAAAATTCCTTCGTCGCAACTTTTATCCTTCTATATTCTATGAATGAACTGAAATTTCTGTCTTCTTTTAATTGTTGTAGTGGGTTGGAGGTCGTTACTCATTATGGTCTGCCATAGGTTTATCTATAGCTCTTTACGTAGGTAAGTTGTTATGTAGTTATAATTTATAACTAATATTGTGTATCTCTTCGTACGAAGTTGTGATTTAATGGTCTAAACACTTTCGGTGTAGAATTAAATGTTCATCACATAGAATACAATAATTTACTCTCAAACAATACATTTCATTTACAATTTGCCATGAATTTGTATTCATAAAATTCGATGTTAAACCAAAATAGTCCTTACATAGAATTAATTTGGACTGTTGTAGATTTTAAAAGTTGTTGATAAGCGACCATACTTATCAACGTTTTCTCCATGATCAACCAAGTTATAGAAGTCTTGGTGACTGTTTACTTTTGTCCGAGACATTTATTTTATTAATCTCTCACTAAACTGAATATTCACCAGATAAATCGCCTTGACCCATTGCTTTTTATTTTTGTCTCGTTTATTGATTAAGCACTAACAATCAACATGTATGCTTGTAACTTGCGCATATGTAGTAGTATAGACTTTCTTTATCTACTAAGGTATGGAGAATTTCATTAAATTGTTGGAAGGAGCTCATGAAATGGATAAACATTTCAAAGAAACGCCATTACATAAAAATGTAAGTTGTTATGTTATAAATTTCTTTATTAATGCTGCTCTAAATTGTTATTCTTCCGAGTAAATTATGTGTGAACTAATATTCCTAAATAATAAGGATAAATATGAGAGCAAAATTTTTATTTGTATTAAAGTCAATTTAAAACTACATAAATTATAAGTAACGCTTTTCTTATACAATAGTGTAATAATTATAAAGTCATTATATTCTATAATCATCTAGAATATACTGAAAATAACCCCCAACTAATGGCTTTTAAAGAAGCGAGACGTTTTTCTTGAAATTCACCTGACAAAAAACGACTGTATCGTTCCTACAACTATTATATTAGCGAAGGATTAAGAAGTAGTCAAAACAGCAGTGCACAGAACCAACCAAATAAACAGTATTTCAAAATTCAAATATGAAGATGACCATCTTTAAAATTAAATTCCACATCACTCCTCTTTTACGCAAAATTCTCTCCAATTGTTTGATTGTTTCATTTTTATCAGCCGAAATTGGTATCAAAGCGTTATAAAAACATACATGTTTTAGTATGTCACATAGTTCTTAATAGATTATCTTTGATAGATAATCTTACTTACGTCTGTTACCACTCGTGAAGGAGCATTGGTCGCCCACCAGCATTCTCCATCGAACTCTGTCCTGGAAAATCCTTTCGAGATTCTATTCATTATTTTGATGTTTGCTTCCAATCCCCGATGCAATGTGTTCCTTGTTCACGGTATTAATATTGTTGGAACTCTGATTCAGGACGTTGGTTTAAATAATCTACCAGCTGATGATCACAACTTTTGTTAGTGAAGAAATAATACTTTATTGAAAGTGATGAGTTGTTACATTCTATTAAAACTCTCCTTTCACACTAGAGAATCCAGTGCATTAAGAAAGAACTGAGTTTCAGATCATATTTGAATAGTTAACTTCTCCAAAATTTATTTTTCTAATAACCCTATTACGATGAAACAAGGAACCCAAATCATGAATTCCGTGTTTAGGTATAAAAACATGTATGTCAGAATTAAAATGAGCTAATGTATTTTAATCTTTATTTATTTATTCAAACACATAAACATTGGTACAAGTAGGCACCAAATATATATGCGCCAGACTTCATCATTCGATTTGTGTGAGGTCTGGAATAATGTCTGGGCACCCAAACCGAAGCAGGGGGTTTTCTTAGGTGGCCACACCCCAATAATGTGTTGTATGAGCATTCATTCAAACCCACTTGTCATTCTCTTACATTACTAACTTTCAATCTTTTAACCTATTTCAAAATTCATTAACTCCAACCTCAATATCAATGTGAATAACAGTGTTTTTTGATATTGATACACTGGGTTAATATAGTTTAGAATATATAAAATTTAGTTTAAGTTGAATTTAACAAAATAATTTTTAGTTAACCATTGTCCCATTTACAAACTGCTAACTTTATCATATTATACGAATCGTTAACATATATTTCATGTATTTAATTTTAGTCAGTAAGCTTGTCAAATCAGTATAATGTATATAATATTTATTGTTATTTTATGTAATTATTCGTCAACGTTCATTAATGTGTGATTATACAAATGTATAGATTAAGTATTTTATTATCAAAAATCCGATAGTAATTCACTAAACTTATATTCAAATAGATACAAATAAATAACAGATTACCTTTATTTTCGTTTCGAGTATCTGTCCATCATTAGTAAATGTATCAATAGTTTGTAAACTATAATGCCAGATATTTTGTTGATGAGGTCATGATCTAAGTCAATATAAGACGTTTAATGTATGATGACCAGAGATGATATAACTTGAATTAACGAAGCTCGGTGACCAAAGTATGTTATGACACTAAAATGAGTGTTTATAATAACATTGCTTGTTATTTAGTATAGCAGATATCACCTGCTAAAGTGAAGATATTATGGATACTACTGGTAAGTGAATACATGAGTAGACAGAGTATAATCGGAATGACCATCAAGTGTTCCTTCGTATTAAGTGATATAAGTGTAGAATTTCCAATGTAGAAGACATTGTGATGAGGCGTGCGACACTAATGATGGAATTCAATCACATCATTGTACATGATACAATTCAACTGGAATTGATTGAGGAGTTATAACATAACTATTCAATACGGAATATTAATCCTTCACAGTGGTTGTACATAAGATAGTTTGCCTCTACTTGAGGGAAAACCACCAAATTAATGGCTTTTTGAGTAAGATTTCGATAGTATTCTTTCGTCTATAGTGTTAGCTATATACTAATTATGACAAGAATGTAAATCTTTCAGTAGCACCAATATTTTCTAAATAGATTTTGTCAAAAAATAAATAATTAAACTTTAATCAACAGCTATTTGACAGACGAACTACTGGCTTCATTTATATTTGTGCGTTTTTAAATTTTCTTTATCCTTCCCTAGCCTGGTCTTTGAAAATGTATATTTTTTGTCGGATAAGAATATGTTACATAATATGAAGGTTAAAATGATTCATAAGTTGCTATTATACTCTCCGTCGTTTGTAAATTTTTAAAGTTAACGGGCCATTTAGATATATCACCAGCTTTCAGTTTTTATACTACCCCATCTCTTCACGTTCATTTTTACATTATTATGGCTTTCTAATTAAAACTAAACATGTTAACCGTAACATTTTGTTCTCTGAAGTCCTATGTTCACTTACCATGTGTAGTATCATTTTTATGTCTAACTATATAAGTAGTTTTGCAAAATAATAAATATATTTTACTTTATAGCTTCCTGTCATCCTAGCTGTGTTAGGTGTAATGTATATCAATATTTATGGGGCAGAAACTCAAGCAATTCTACCATATGATCAATATATGTCACGCTTTGCTGCATATTTCCAACAAGGTGATATGGAATCGAATGGAAAGTTTGTTAGACGTGATGGCAAAGAAGTTGATTATTCCACTGGTCCCATAGTTTGGGGTGAACCAGGAACAAATGGCCAACATGCATTTTATCAACTTATTCATCAAGGCACACGGTTAATCCCATGTGATTTCTTGATACCAGTACATACACACAATCCAGTTCAAGGTGGCTTACATCATGAGGTTAGTGCGGTATTTATGTATGGTGCTAATATTTACAGTTATATGAGTTCCTCCGAAATAATTTTTTCTGGGATTAGTTCCAGCTAATTTGTTTGAAACCAAAAAGTAGTTTAGACACTTCATTTCTGCAACTATAAAATGTGAGTTAGTAATAAATACATGTCAGTAAATTTCTCGAGGTTCACGAAAATAACAAAACACGTATATTTACCACGATTCGGTTGCTTCTTCATTTGCGTATTCCTCCAGTCGACTTGTTATACATCCTCATCAACCCTATTTTAGTAGTCCACATTCTGTACAATGATCAAACGGACTACAAGGAAGTTCAGGTCTTATAGTTAAATCTATGGTAGTTTTAAATATTTGTTATCTTCTTGTTCAAGGTAAATGGCTGTCAAATGTACATTATACAAATTGAGTGTCTTAGTATATAACAGTCTGTCACAAAATAAACCTAGTATTGGTAATTCCATAGCTACACTGGGAAAAACATCTGGTTGTATTTATTTATTTGAACACATAAATATTGGTACAAGGGGGCACCAGATACAAATGTGCAGCACAACAATAATGAGAATGGGAAGAGATAAATGATGTAAGGTGCGTGTAAAAAGAAAAAAAGGAACAATAATGACCACAAATTGGTGTATGGTAGTGAGATAGTAATAATAATGGGGGAAACAGAAAGGTACACCCAGAAAGAATTCTTACAGTTAAAGAAGTTACGGTCACTGTTTATGAAGAAACTAAAAGAAGGTTACAGCAGGGTCGCCACTGGCTTTTATTCTGAGCCATATCTGATAACGTCTCTAGCCACTGTGTTGCACCATCTCTCGGACCCCACCCAGGGAGGAAGGACCAACAGAAGCCAGCCTTTTTCAGCTATCATACTACGACACCATGTCATACACTGACCACCTCTCCGCTTTTTCCAACCAGTCCCAGCGTCAACAAATAACCAAAAAGTCATTACCATCTTTAGAAAGGGCCGGAGGTAAGTCATCTGGACCCGGTGATTTGTAGCGTTTAGAGTGGGAGTTCCTTGCGAACTTCCGCCTCATTTGGTGGATCAGTCATGTGGTTGTAAATTTTAGTACATTCATAATTACTTTATCACAAGATTCGCCTTTCTTATGGAAACAAATCTTCACTGACGAAACACTTGTATCTTTTAAACCTACTGTAAATGATAATACATTCCTTTAACGAAATCTGTTCACAACACAATTGCTCTCTGTTTTAAAAATTGCATTAGGCATTCAGTTCATCAATAACTGAACTCCTTGTTCAAATCACACTGTATTGTTTCCAGTTTAAAAAATCTAAGTGACATCTCCATTTCACACATTACATTTAACCGTTAAAACTAGTGTGATAAAAATAAATAAAATATTCATTACTCCAAAACTTTCTCTTTGGAATAGGTTTTATCAACTAGTCATAAGTTTTGTGACTTTAAGTCCGGCTAGTTATCATGTGATTTATTCGCCAGTCAAAATACGACTTATTCACTCTTGCATTGTACTAAACCAATGACGTTCGATCGGTCTGATCAGCTTAGCGTCCTTACTGATCCTTTGCTTGCCTAGCCCGTCCAGTTGAATCCAGAACACCAATAATAGCTTCCGCTATGTGAACCCTTTATTTCAAACATGCTTGGTTTATGTACCAGTCAAACAGACCGCTTCACACCATAAAATAGGAAATAACATCTATACAAAGCAAGGCCAAAAGTGGCCATGAGCGTGGGAGACAGTAATCAATAAACTGAACATAACTTAAGTACAGTAAATCGTACAATAATAATTTATAGGGGAAAATGAAGCTTATAAGAGGGATGTAGATATACACAGTCTAGTTACTGAATAGTTATACAATAACAATATATATAAAATATTAGTCCATTAATAGTTCTCAGAATTTACTTGTAATTTAATCTTCACTAGGATATAACAATAAGCAATGTAGAATCCGGAGCAAATATACTTTAGCCTAAGTTATTATACCACATCAGGACGACATAAAAAATATTAACATAATGAACAGCAAATGAGTCCAAATGATCTAGTTGCATTGATAATGTGCAAGACTAATAACTGAAAAAGACTTTGTGTATATGAATACTGAATATCGTGGTCTAAACAAATATAAGGAATGATTAGATCTGTATCATGTCACCAAACGCCTCCAACCACTGATCACTGTTATCGCAAGAACTTCAATCGACTAGTCTGCATCAACCAACTTGACTTAAGCCAACAGTCGATGACTTCATGGGCTGATGTCAATTATTGGGTTTCCCATGCTTTTGGTACATTGAAGCAGTTGTTTTGTCTTTCTGTACGAAAAGCCCTTTAATTCAGCTAAGTTCAAAATGTATTCACTTTGTAAATGCCATTCAAAATTAATAAAAACTTTCGATTCATATCAAACAGAAAAATGTTCACAACATCAGTGCCTTTTTATAAATTGCCAATATGCAATGAGCAGATAGAGTTGGTTTCAAGTTATTTGTACAATACATTTCCGATCGCAGATTTTGCTTATGTAATCAGTCTAAGGTTAATAACAAGAAACAATTAATCCTAAAGGACGATTGGAAACATCGATACTTTTTCTATACTACATGATCTTTTTCGAACATTATTATAATATCATTATATTATAACATTATTATTATTACACTAAGCTCTCTAAATGTTTTGTTTTCGTGTTCTGTCGTAAGACTAACGGGTGGGGAGCAGTCATTGCCCTCGAAAATTTGTACTTAGTTTTATAGAATTTCGCATGTTTTCACCAGCTATTTTTTTATTTGTTTATTTGTGTTCTCATGTCAGATAAAGAATATGAAGATTTCATGATTAAATCATCCAGCACATAGAACACAACATGCCTTAAAAATTCCTCTGGACTACTTGTGGGGCTACTGCAAGAAAAAGGAAGTTGTCTCCATTCATTGTCTAGAACAGTTGTCGTTAGAATTATGAATCTTATCTGTCAAACTAATGTTGATCTCATCGAATTACCAGTAGTTCTTTAAGGTATTGCGCTTTAACAAGAATAATTAAGGACATTCATGTAAGCCATACATATATACAACAAACATATATTTAGACTTTATAATAAACATGCTAACCTCAAAAGATCTATGCATAATAATTGTCTATCCTCAAACTCTGTTTTGTTTGATTCCTCCTTGTAGTTATTGAAACGTTTGATTTCATATAATGTTTTAACTCTCTTTGTGATTGACGATAATTGTATTATGTCAATTAATACACCTACCAACATTCCTAAGTATTTTCTAAAGAATTCTTTATTCTATCTACTTATTTAGATTCTCCTATCTAATTTTTTGGCTCAAACTGAAGCTTTAATGACTGGTAAAACAAAAGAAGAAGTTCATAAGGAATTGTTTGCTGCTGGAGTTACTGGCGACTTATTAAATTCACTTGCATTGCATAAAAGTTTCAAGGGTAATCGTCCATCTAATTCCATTGTGTTCACCAAATTGACACCATATATTTTGGGCGCTTTGATTGCTATGTATGAACATAAGATATTTGTTCAAGGAATTATATGGAATATTAATTCTTTTGATCAATGGGGGTAAGTTATGACTTTATCTATGTATATTGTGTTGATTTATGTGATATGTTTATTTTTAATTACACTTAACTGGATAATAGTGTGGAACAATGTCTTATTTATGATGTCTGACACTCAAGTACTAGGTCGCAAGATTGAGTCCCACCCAGCCTACTTCGGCTTGGGCAGTTGAATGTTATCATTAGCTCTCACATAAAAAGTGTTGCTGAAAGTTGAGTACACGAATCTGTACTTGAGAAATGAGTAGCATCATCAATAACTTTGATATTCAATGTCGTTTCTTGTTTTCAGCCATTGTGAATAACCATAAATAAAGTTGTATCGACTACCGTAAATCGATGTATGTAAATGCTAATAATTATTCATAGCATAATTAAGCGAGTTATTCGATATAAAGACAAACAAATGAAAATAAATAGTGTGATGAATCGTGATTTCATCAACAAATTCAAGAGAAGAATGCTAATCGATGGCTGCTGACGCCATTAAACTATTGACATAAGCCGCCAATTCAACTGCCTACTGGAGTCGGGCAATTTTCATTGAATAACGCGTTTATCTGCAAATAACTGAACTCAAGAATAAACAGGATTAGACGTCATTTAATATATAAACGATTACAACATATGAGATCCATAGGTCATTAACTTTTCCATAAAATTAACGTGTAACTATCTGGCTTAATTCTTACTTCGTCATATGACAGTAGCAAATAAAGATTGTCCATCGAGAAAAACTATCCCAGTACACAGTGCAAAAGTCGTATTTGAAATAATCGCAGCGATTAAAATTTAAATAATTCCGACACTTCGTCCAACAATTTTGTTTTGACTTCTTCAGCATAATAATCGAGATTGTTGGAGAATATAGAGTTTAATGAGCAAATCTACACTAAAACCTTATCCGATCATATTCAGACACCACATTTTTTTAGTAGAGGAACGTGAGTCCATGAGATGGGAGTAATTCGGAAACGGATGAATACGTACGTATGCACACATTTATGTTAAAATTCAGTGAATAATTCTATTCTCTATCTAATACCAAAGTTTTGTTTACTAGTTTTGTTTATCAAAAATAATAGTAGAGATTGAATAGTATGTTAAAGCGTCAAACTCTATGTAAAATGAGAAAGGAGAAAAGCATAACTGTGATGTTTAGGCGGTCGCTTTATCTTAGTACGAGACTCCTCAGTAGTGCGCATCCACGTTCCTGCACACGAGATTCGAACTTAGGACCTTCGGTCTCGCAATATCATGTATTGGATAAAGTCCGGCATTAACACCGTTGGGTACCGGCTCAGTGATCTAGAGGTTAAGCGTTCACGCGCGAGACCGAAGGTCCTGTGTTCGAGCTCCGGGTTGTGGATGCTCACTACCAAGCAGTCCCATTCTCGGACGAAACGGTCGTCCAGTGCTTCCAGGTTTTCAATGGTGGTCTAACATTGATCAGTTCATGATCTTAATTAGAACCCAGTAATCTCCACAACCCAATACTGGTAATTGATCAAATGATTAAACACTGGGATTTTTTTATTCACAACCATCAACAACTGTTAATACTTGCACTAGTGAACATTGTACACATTGTTATTACTTCAAATATGCCTAGATGCTTCTAGATAATCACAATGATTATTTTACTTTAAGTTTATTTATTATACTTCTATAATCATATGTGTATGTAGACTTCTAATAAATTTCAAACATTACAATTAAAAACAATTTCCTTTCTCTTTTATGTATCATAAAAGTGTGGAGCTGGGAAAAGTGTTAGCCAAGAAAATTCAACCAGAATTAACTACCAATGAGCTGGTTACTAGTCATGACTCTTCAACAAATGGATTAATTGCATTTATTAAAAATCATCGAAAGTAAAATCATGGTTGCCACATGGAAAAAATAAAGAAAACAACCGGAAAATCTTAATGAATTCAATCGTAATTATAATGACAATTTTAATGAATAAATTTAATATTTATATTTGATTTAATCAATTTCTTGATAGTTAGTAGTAGTAAGACAATATTAAAGTAGAAAATTTTGATACTATCAATAACAATTACCGTTATTACTATTATTACTGAACTATTGTTTAAACTGTCGGCCAATAACCTTCATCGGCTCTGTGTAGTTTTCTTTTTTTCATTAGTTAATAGTTATATATTTGTGATATAAAATGATCGCATGATTACTGAAATATTGATACTACTATTCTGATCTGAATAATTTTTAATTTCTAGTTACTTTGTCTTATCTGTCACCTTAGTGAGTAGTATGGTCTCTTGTACTGCTTTTTTGGGTTTTGTTTACTAGTTATACTATATACGTTTGATTGATTACATGAGAGTGCATGAATAAATTTACTCTCATTTAATTTGTATACCTCTCCCTTACTTGATATCAATTTTGGTGATGAAATATAAAAACTTTTATGAACTATTGTGTTGATTTTCAAATACAGATCATTCAGCAGATGAAAGCTATCCTCACAGTTGAATTTACGAGTCGATCTAAGCTATACCACTACTAGTCCCGGGTTTGAGTTCCGCGTGTGGGATTGTGGATGCACACTACTGAGGAGTCATATACTGGGACGAAACGGCTGTCCAGTTCTTCCAGGTTCCCAGTGATGATCTAGCTTATTTATTTATTTGAACACATGAATATTGGTACAAGAGAGCGCCTATATATATATATATATATATATATATATATATATATATATATATATATATATATATATATATGTGAATTCAACTGTGAAAATACTGCAATCTCTACAAATCCCCATACTGAAAGTTATCTACTTAAGTATATCCAAAAGCTTCATGTGCATAGAAATTCACATACAAACTTTGCTTTATTAAACTGAAGAAATTTGTAATCCCTACTTTCACTTAATGAACTAGAGAATCTTACTCAGATTTAATTTTTTGACGCGTTAAGTTAATGCCATGGACAATTTGTATCCCTTACGTTGTACAAATAAAAATATTGAACATGTAACAGCTATTTAAACATTGTTTGTGTCCATTATAGATATATATTTGCGTATATTACTCTGAGGTTTGAAGTTAATGTAACTGATGAGGTTCTTAATTGTTGTTTCAAGCGTTATACACGTTCTCACCACGAGTATCCTAAATTAAAAGACTTTTGGCACACTTGTGAGCAAAGGATAAGCTACCGGTGTACTTACTTAATTTTATGGTCTTTGACAGGTGTAATAAAATTTATAGACGTCTTAAAAAGTAGCCCGATGAATCATAATATCTATTGTCAGTATAGAGTTGTGGAGACTGCTGAGTTGGCCGAGCACTATCGTCGGTTGGATGAAGTTAGACATTAACACCGTTGGTTTAGAGGCCAAGTGTTCGCGCGTGACCGAAGATCCGGGGTACGAGTCCTGCTCACGGGATCGTGGATACACACCGATGAAGAGTCCTATACTAGGACAAAACGGCCTTCCAGTGCTATTAGGTTTCTAGTGGTGGTCTAACATTGGTCAGTTCATGATCTCGACTAAAATCTATTGGACTACATCATATCGATCATTGCAAGCTATCGGTCGGGTTCATACTTCAGTATACACCTCAGGATTCTGTTATTTGAAATATAATGTTTTTTTACATCAGTTGCTTGTTTAAACTGACTTATTTTGACTTTCAACATGCAAATATGCTAAACCCCATGAACTATTATCTAATATTTCTATACAAGTAAAATAAAATATAAACACTTTTATGACGTTTTGAGAAAAGTGCATATCCCTTTTGTCTCATAATTATCAATAAATTACGACTAACTCTTTATGTAACAGTGTTTCTGAAAAACATCCTGTTCTATCATTGTAACGTTTCATTCTCTATACTTTGTATTATTTTATATGAACGTATGCATTCGCACTCAGAGCATACATTAAGCAAATATTTTCGCAGCTACTGTCTATTTTAGTATTATGATTTATGTTGATTACGACTGAATGGTTGTTTGTCTTTGTGTTGTGTGTAATTAAATTGAACCTATTCATTATGGAAGCGTTAATTTTACATAATCTTAAGTCAACTATTTATGTACAGAAACAATTAATCCAACTGCTTTCATTGTCGTAATCCAATTTTTCTTCAATTCCTTTATGTTTCACTTTCCTCCTTATCTTTAATGTACATAATTTTTTTAATCGTCCATCGTTCTACATTATAACACTTGTGTAAAGTTCAAGTTTTAATTACTTATTGACAGTAATTCCCATTTGTACGCCTAAAAATATCACACCATATCAGTATATATAAGAACTTTCATCTAAATTTAAACTAACAGTTTCACAGTAATTGGGCGCCAATTCCATGTAAGACATTAAGGAGGAAGAATATATTTGTAAAATCTCAACGATTGAATTTCAAGTTAATCCAACATTTTGTTCGGCAATCTGATCCAAGCTTTTTCATGAGAATATAGTCAAAATTATCGAATATAAACAGTTAACTGTATACTAAATAAGTAATCCTTCACTCAGTATACCCTATTTAACTAAACTCAGATTATTCTGTTTAAGGTTACGAACAAACCTTTCACCACATTAGTTGTTTCGTACACCTTTTTAGGTAAAATCACAAAGAATTATTCATTAAATTGTTTATTTTAATGCGCAATCAATTTTTAAAAATTCCTATATGCATAGAATTTGCCTATAATGTTCGTGAGCAGTATTATAGATATGTTTGTAAATAGAAAGATAAATATTCAGAGCAATGCAATCAAGCTGTGTGTTATGATAGACTAAAATGAGTTCTTTAGTGCATGTACTCCATGGTTCATCAAGTTATTTCGTCTTGATAAAGTCTAGTTTGTTCCATTTATCATTGGCATTTCCCAAATGTAAATAGCTCCATCTTCGCTGACCGTGACAATACTTTTTTGATCTGGTGATATATGTAATCTTGTTATTGGTGATGTATGTCCCAGCCCTACATGGGTTATTTCACCTTCATTGTACTTCCAGACCTGAATTGTAGATTTATGTCAGTGATTAAAAATATGATTTAACTGATGAACTATATACGTCTTAAAGGTAAGGTGTTAAATAATTGGTTTATATTTGCAAACTGCAATGTCGTAAATTAACTCGTATGTCTGACAACTGTTTATCAAACCATACGTTATTTCTGCGATTCCTTTCTGTAATAGACGAACCCTTTAACCTTTAAACAGGTTACCTTCGAAAAATATGAAGATTTACATTCTTGTCATAATTAGTATATAGCTAACACTATAGACGAAAGAATACTATCGAAATCTTACTCAAAAAGCCATTAATTTGGTGGTTTTCCCTCAAGTAGAGGCAAACTATCTTATGTACAACCACTGTGAAGGATTAATATTCCGTATTGAATAGTTATGTTATAACTCCTCAATCAATTCCAGTTGAATTGTATCATGTACAATGATGTGATTGAATTCCATCATTAGTGTCGCACGCCTCATCACAATGTCTTCTACATTGGAAATTCTACACTTATATCACTTAATACGAAGGAACACTTGATGGTCATTCCGATTATACTCTGTCTACTCATGTATTCACTTACCAGTATTACTCATGATGTCTTCACCATACTGAACAACAAATAATATTATAAACATTCAGCAGTTAATTGGGTAGTAATTAGAAATTACTCACGTAAACAATTCAAAGTTGTTGGTAAGCATGATAATCAACATGTAATGAAAACTAAAGCGTAGGCAACTACGATATTCTATTACCCAGTCTTGTATGGTAAGCAAATTATTTTGATTTTCATAAAATAAAAGACAGTTTGTATTTATTGGTCAAAGAATTACATTCACATCTTATAAACAGTCTTAAGAACAAACGCTGACTGGCATTTTAAAAATATGCAGTCAAACATATTCACTTCAAATGTAGTTCTAATTGCTTACAAAAATCACGCTTATTACTACTTTTGTGTTATTTTCTAGCAAGCTGCTTTGATAAGACATTTAGCCTATCTAAAAGTCAAACTTTTTATTAAATGTTTACTGATAAATTATCTTCATACATCTGTTGGTTTCGTTAAATCGACCACCGAACGAATAGATATATTCTGACAGCTTTCAGTTAAAATTTAATAACGCTATTATCTTCACCTGCTATTGTTTGTTTGAATCTTCCTGTTGATGTTTAGGACTGCAAATGATCAGTCTCTTATTGGCATGTGTGCGTTTTACCTCGATATACCCTTAATTCACAAGCATTATATGCAGAGATGCAGGTACATACAGCTGACGAGTCCCTGATAGGACGAAACGCGCGTCCTGGATTCCACTGCTAGCCACTATCCATCTTTGCATATAATGCTATTATGTGTTTTTATTTTCAAGATGAAATGGTGTTCTGGTGCATAAATTTGTCTAAGAGGTTTATTGTTTTTGGTTATGTAATTATTCCTCCTGCCTCTATGGTTTCTACTTCAGGTAGATTCATGTCTATGTAAACTGAGAAGTTAACTGTATATATTATTATTACGTAACAAATAACTACTTTGTTTATTTACTTTTCTAATGTATACTATCACTGTAGTAACATTTTTTTGTCATCATTTTCACAAAACGATAAATATTTCTTACCTTGACGAGTTTATCATTTCCACCTGTAACGAATGTGTCACCATCATCTGTAATGTCCATGCCATTAATTGAGCCTGTTCGTGAACCATCTAATTGTCTTATTAATGAACCATCGTATACCTCCCAATAACCTATTTTTCTATCTGTACCAGATGTAATAATTTGACATTCTGTTGGATGATAACAAACACATCGGAATAATGTATTTGAAAAGATAACTTGTTTACGACGGAATGTTCTGGAAATTA